TTATAACATCACTATGTTATAATTTTCAAATAAATAATTATATTTGCTCTACTATGTATTGAGTACTCTTTTAAGAATATTTTGGTTTTTCGAATTTATTCCGTATATTTATTCCGTATATATATATATATATATATATATATATATATATATATATATATATATATATATATATATATATATCAAATATGTGGTGCAGTTCAATTTATATTACATGAATCATTCATACAAAAAACAGATTAGTGAAGTTAATGATATAAATGGCGAGAATACATCTTCGCAAACAAATTTATTAAAATTACATATTTATTTATTCAGCCATGGAAATTTATTTGTTTTTTTTTTTAAATACATCCAGGTAATAAGGGGACACAAAAGATTAGATGTGAATCGAAATATGTTTTTTTAGAAATCTGTTTTTTGTATGAATGATTCATGTAATATAAACTGAACTGAAGCACATATTTGATTTAAAAGAACTGATCCGACTTGCAACTTCTGGAATAATATCTGTGATTACAATATTAGTAAAAAAACGCGCTCACTTTTAAATTTTCAAAAAATTCAACCTCAGCGTTGCGACGGCACGTTCCAGAATTTCTTACATTTAACAATAACACATTTCTAAAAAACATATTTCGATTCACATCTAATATTTTGTGTCCCGTTATTACCTGGATGTATTAAAAAAAAAAACAAAAAACAAATCAATTCCCATTGCTGATGTGTTGACCATGTTTGCCGTAGTCTCTGAATATGGAATCCAGTGAAGTCCATAATGTGTTCAATACCAGAGTTTGGCAGTGAAGATTCAGAGAAAGTAGCGGCTGTTAAGTAATTCTTTCACTCTTCGATATCAGGTTGGCAGTGAGGATAATTTGGGAGAAAAAACAAAATGGCTGCCTTTATACACGTCGCATTGAATATTTTGAGCTTTCTGATTGGTTAACCCTTCTATTGGTGAACTATAAAATGAGTCAGCTCATTTAGGCTAGCTCACTAGTACATACATACCCAAAAAACTGCAACATGATGATGTCTGTATGAACAGATGAAAGTATTTGCAAAAAAAAGACCTTATACAAGCTAAATTTATTAAAAACAGGGATCATAACATTCATCTAGAGGTTTGTGGGTTAATGTAATTTTAATAAATTTGTTTGCGAAGATGTATTTTCGTTATTTATATAATTAACTTCACTAATCTGTTTTTTGTATGAATGATTCAGGTATATATATATATATATATATATATATATATATATATATATATACGTATATTGTTGTACGTGTGTCTATGTGTGTATTTGCACATGTAATTGGACGTATGTATATGTGGATTTGCATGCATATGTTTTTGTGAGATACATATAAGAAGAAAACAAAATCTATAATATTACCCTCAAATATTATTAAATAATATTATTAAATAATGAAACCTAAACCTTAATTAAGTTTACCCATATAATAATAAAGAAAAATTGCATTCGTAAATTAGATTTAAAGTAAAACTAATATAGATGTTATTGTTACCAAAATTTTTTTACAATATTATGAAAGTACAATTGGTCGGGTAAATAAACTATTATAATTTTAAATATTTCTTGAATATGTTCTCGATAAATGTGCTAATAAAAATAGTAGTTAACTTATATTAAATCCCTAAACTATTTACTTAAAAGATTAAGTGTTTAAATTGATAACATTCATCATTTTTTAGACATCTAAATTTCTATCAAGCATTGAAATCTATCTTTTACATAATTTTGTTAAAACAAAATTACAGCCTTTTCGATTCACTTCCCTCTCCCCCTCTCTCTTTGCCGTAACACTCATTTAGATATATCTGTATTACTGTTGTCTATCTCCTCTCTCTTTTCCATTTTTCCTTTTCTTTCCCCCCACTACCCTCCCATTCCTACATATCATTTCCGTTAAGTTAACCATCTAAATAGGTCACGATTAGGTCACTCCTCCTACCCCAATATAAAACATGCTTAAGAGAAATATGAAATTTACCCCTCTCTATACTCTACCTTGTCTCGTTAACTACAACTATCACCCTCCCTGTTAAATTACAAAAATTACACTACCCATCAATTTCTAATCCCATTTTTCCTTTCATTTCGTTGTTGGAAGTGTTACCTGATGATCTGGAGTCCTTCAAAAAGGATTTTGGTGAAATAAATTATTGTAATGGTACCTTAAAGTGGTCTGTTTTTTCATTAAATATTAGCTCTGTGTTCACATTGAGCTCTCAGGATTTCATCCTCCTTGGAATTACCCATTTGGTTTACCAAGTTCTTCGTAACATTGTCGCTAAAATGAACGACTCTTGCAAATAAAGAATGAGATTCAACCGCTTAAGTCTTCAGAAAGTTTGCCTACGTCTCTTGGGCTGCTGTCATTTCAGAGATTAACAATGCTTCATTTAATAAATCCAGACAACTTAAGACACAGTCAGTTAAGTGCCATCACGTGATACACGCTTGGACGATCATGTCACTTTCGATTCATGACTGACTAGACAGAAGATTTTCCCACAGTAGGTTGGCGTTTCTTTCTGCGGCAGACTAGTTGCCAGCCAAGGCTATAGGGCCCAGTTTGTCCTGCTGTTCAACCCATATCTGTGGGAGAGATGGCTTCTTAGCTTTTCCAAATGTATTTGCACGTAAGTGGATGTAACGAACCCAACTGGAATTAGAACTCGGCTCTCCGCCTTTTCATTCCGAGCCGACATCCAATAAAACCACAACGCCCATTTCAGGTATTGAAACTAGAAATACAAGACAAAAATAGAATAACAATTGAAATTATTCATCTAAGAAATTCGAAAGAATACGAGACCAAAGCAAGAAAAATATGATGAAAAAATCATATTCAAAATTCATTTCATTTATTCATTTATTTATGAAATTCAGACGGTGGAGTAAAGGACTGGGGAATCGGAGAGCCGAGTTCGAATTCGAGTCGAATCCATTACATTCACTTACGTTCTAATAATTACCCCTTGGGAAAGGTATGAATCCTTTTCCTTAACCTCCCAGCTATGGGTAAATAGTAGGACAGACCTAGTTCTTGGATGGCAATTGGTCTACCGCAGAAAGAAATGGCAACCTATTGCAAGGAAAAAATCGGCCTCGTATCGAAAGATACATGATCGCCTAAACGTGTATCATGAATGGCACATAAATGAATGATGAAAGCAAGAGATACAAAATGAAAGAAATATTAGTTTTTCTTACAACAATGTTCATGTCTATATTTCTGAGATGAGGTGTTATGTACACTATTTACATTATTCGGACTATTGTCCTCATCTTTCTGGCCATATTTATTACAACGTTTCGGCCGTTGTACGCTCCATCCTTCTTCAGGTGGTTGGAATGTCGAACTGAACTCTTTATTTCGCTCCCTGGGGTAGACTGTTCTAGTTCCATGTGCCATGTTTAATGAATGTCAGTTATCTCCTGCTAATTCCCCTCTCCGAGTTCTCCACTGCCTTAACCAGGTATTGAACTCACACTCTTTGGGTCCTCAAGGACATATGGCACAGTGGATAAAGGCGTTGGTTAGATCCACTGACAGGACCCAAAGAGTGTGAGTTCAATGCTCGGTTAAGGCAGTAGAGAACTTGAAGAGGGGAATTAACGGGAGATAACGGATAACTGACATCCATTAAATATGGCACGTGGAATTAGAACAGTCTATACCAGTGAGCGAAATAAAGGGTTCAGTTCGACATTCCAACCATCTGAAGAAGGCCGGAGCGTACAACGGCCAAAAAGTTGTAATAAATATGGCGACAAAGATGAGGACAATAGTCCGAATGATGTAAATAGTGAACAATGTTTACCCTGTACAAGGACCAAAAGCCACTCGAGGTAGAGTGTTACTGAGTAAAAGATACATTTAATGGCGATATGTGGGGAAGATAATGATAACACCGGGCCTTGAACAGATTATGATTGTAGGGATTGGGCAAGCATTCTTTTTTAAATTGGTTTCACATCATCACCATCATCAGGTCCAGAATTCTCCTCGGATTCTTCTGACTCGTTCCTTCCAACCATCTCTGTCAGACATCTCCGTCGGCAGGTCCTCCAGATGGCATCCAGAGTCATCTATATGTTGGTCAACGTAGGTGTGATTAGGTCTTCCAACCGATCTTGGATTCCATAGGAAGGTGTAACTCAAGTTTTGACTTAATTTTCCAGGAGTGACCAGCTAGCCGAATCTTTTTCTCTCTTAGCGAAACTGAGATAGGAGGAAGGTGTCCATAAAGGCATTTCTTTGTTGGGTGTTTCTTCCAACTGATGTCTAATGCAACTCGTAATATCCTTGTGTATGTTCCGTCAAGTGATGCTTCTTGGTTTCGTCAGTGTCCATGTTGTTGAGACGTAAACCGAGACAAATTCTACCGTGGCCTTAAAGACGTCCCTCTTAAGACTGTCAGAATGGGAAGACTTCCAGATGCTTCTCAAAACCCTTTATTTCGTTCAACGGGTAGATGCCTCTTACCCTTGACTCAACTCTCTAAGTTTTTGTTGACCACGGCAGTAGGCAGGTATTGAACTCACAACTCTTTGGGATAAGTCACTGGATCCAGACAACGCTTTTATCAACTGGGCCATGTGATAATGCTTTATCGAAGATATTTAACAGTTTAAGACTATTACTAGGAAGTGTAAAGGATAGAACAATAACGTTGACAGAGAGACAAGTCGAAAAGTAATAATGGCTGGCAATGCTTCTTCTATGAAATTTAGACAATTTAAGACAATTGTTAAGAACTATAAGAGTCAGGGAACAAATATCAAAAGTTAATAATTAACAATGCTTAATCGCGTGAGATTAAAATCAAGGGTAATTTGTGATTTAAGAGAAAGCGTATGAAACAAATTCTCCATCTCTTTTCCTTTGAACTTTATTCTTTGATCTTAGTAATTTCAATTGTTGCCCGCTAAAGATTCTTATATTCTAAAGGTGCAGAAAATTCG